ACTAATTTAGGTATATTTTTCTACAAAACAAACAAACAAAATTGTATATGTTTTTTTAAAAACTGTAGTTCAAGACTAGCTCTACACTTTAATAAAATTTTGGATTAATTCTTATTAATAATTAACATAGGTTATCAAAAAAAACTGGTTCTGTTACAATGTAGAGCTCGCCTAGAACTATACATGTGTGTCTAAATTGCCCATCTTAATAAAAAAGTAATTACAGCATTTAGGCAGCCGAAATTGTTCTTATGTAGTGCTGAAATTAAATTTCATATTTGCCAAAATTCTAGCTGAAATTTTTTGAACACTTTTCATCAAAATACATTATATAATATAGTTATTTTGAAGGGTTTTATATAAAAAATTTAGCAAAGCCGAAATGTTTGCCGAAAATATGATTTTTCAAAAATAATTTAGGCACACATGTATACCTAGAACTACAGTTTTAAAAAAAAATATGGTACAATTTTGTCTGTTAGTTGTGTAGAAAAATGCACCTAAATTAGTGCAAATTCATATATAAATTTATAGGTTAAATACCCCTTTAAAAAATCCAAACTTAATGACCCTAACTATGGTTTGATTAATTAGTTTATTGAACACCCTAACCGTACGTGGAAACAAAACTATTGACAACCCATCATATAGAGCTTGGCAAATGTATTATGCTAATTTATCGCTCATAAGTTATTTAGAAATGCATGTAGAATTAGGCAATAAAAATTCTTTTACGTACGTATGTATGATGCAAAAACCACAATTATACCTTATAAAGACAAAATATAAATAGTGAATTAACCCTCTCTAAGCTTTTTTCGTCGGCATGCAGCAGATCGCTTCTAATAAAGTTTATGATTAGCAGTGGGTGTCTTATTTATTGGTTGTGCTCTTGCTCGTGATCAGCCACATTTCCTTTTAGACTAAAGCAAAAAAGATTTTTGTCAAAAAATCTTATATTATCTTAAGCTTAAGCTTATATGTGCTATATGCGCTATATGGTTTGCGCATGAGCATGCCCCCAAAATTTTTATTGTATATACTCGGGTTGTATTTATAAGATTTTTGTTCATCGACTTTTGATTCCATGGTTAGATTATGAAAACATGCTAAAAAATATATTATTTTTAGTTAACGTTAATAAATTTCCAATTATAGCTATGCTTCCATAATTAGATGATACACTCTTACTAAATTTAAGCTAAATATATGCCAAACTTTATAATAATAAAAATATACAGTATATTGTGAAAATCAAGCCGTCCAAAGTTATGTCTTGACTATGACATTCATACTCTTCTACTTAATAATGTTAAACTCAATTATCTATTTATTATTTTAAAAAATCAACTTTTGTGCATCACGCATTCTACATATTACTAGTTCGATGGGTGGTGCTTCGTGCCACCCATCTTATTTGTTTAATCAAATTACTGTTAAAGATTCTTTACAGAATTTCTTATTTACTACAATATGCGCGATATGTAATTAAATTTTAATAAATGTGGTTACAGTTGAGTTAGTATTAGATTGTCAATTTTTACCATAATTTGAAATAAAAATTTCTGTAATAGAACTTGCTATTCAGTGATCAAAGTATGTGGTCGCAGTCGAGTTTATTGCATTAGAATTATCATTATGGTTAATCACACGTTCTCTTGAAACATAATCATTAAGGTGAATAAATTAAACTTCATACTCACCTTGGTAATTTATTGAACGATTGAATGATTATGGTTAATCGATGTCTTGTAACACAATCATTAGAGCAAATCGAATTAAACTCAATTCTCACCCTAGTAATTTATTTGAACGTTTAAATTATTACAGTTAATCACATGTTCTCTTGAAGCACAATTGTTAAAGCAAATTGAATTTAACTTCGTACTCATCCTGGTAATTTATTGAACGATTGAATGATTATAATTAATCACATGCTCTCTTGAAACACAGTCATTAAGGCAAATTCTGTACTCACTTTGGTAATTTATTAAATGATTGAATGATTATGGTCAATCAATATCATGAAACACAATCTTTAAAATGAATCAAATTAAACTTCGTACTCATCTTGGTAATTTATTTGAACTATTAAATAATTACGGTTAATCTTATATTCTCTTGAAATACAGTTGTTAAAGTGAATTGAATTAAACTTCGTTCTCACCCTGGTATTTTATTTGAACAATTGATTAATTATGGTTAATCACACATTTACTTGAAACACAATCGTTAAAGCGAATCAAATTAATCTTTGTACTTACCCTGGTAATTTAGTTGAACAATTGATGATTACGGTTAATCATACATTCTCTTGAAATGCAATCATTAAAGAACTGAATTAAACTTCATATTCACTTTGGTAATTTATTGAATGTTTGAATGATTACGGTTAATTAATATCATGAAACACAATCATTAAAGCGAATTTAATTAAGCTTTATATTCACCCTAATAATTTATTTTAATGATTAAATGATTAAAGTTAATAACACATTCTCTTGAAACACAATTGTTAAAGGGAATCAAATTAATCTCATTCTCACCCTGGTTATTTATTTGAACAATTGAATAATTATGGTCTTGAAACATATTCATTAAAGTGAATCAAATTAAACTTAGACTCACCCTGATAATTTATTTAAACAATTAAATAATTATGGTTAATTACACATTCTCTTGAAGTACAATCGTTAAAGTGAATCAATTAAACTTCATACTCACCTTGGTAATTTATTGAACAATTGAATAATTATGGTTAATCAATGTCTTGAAACACAATCGTTAAAGCGAATCGAATTAAACTTCATACTCACCCTAGTAATTTATTTGAATGATTAAATAAAAGAATTAAAAATTATTTATTGAATGATTATAATAATTTACAGATTGATTATAAAAATATGATTTTCACTAACCAAGCACAAATGTTGCAATAATTATAATTTTTTACCTGGGTCATAATGTTGCCAGAAATTTCTATTTTTGTTAATGTAAAAAAATCAAAAGTTAATTACGGCCAGAAATTAGTAAACAATTATGTAATGTTGGCCAAAATTTGCAGATCTGCGGGCGTTAAACAATCAAAAACCGAGTGACAATTTTGTGTCGATTGTTTGAAGAAATCTGATTGGTGCATACTTGACTGTTTGTTTAAAATATTATTATAAATACATATGCACTTGGCTATTAGAACAAAAAAAAACATAAAATGCTAATTTCGCGCATCTATAAATTGGATAATTTTCGGGTCAGATATTTCTAACCCGAACAGACCCGAAATTTCGGGTCGGGTTTCGGGTTGACCCGACCCGATTCGGAGCACTAACTACAGTACACTGCAAACCACAATTATACGAAGTTTAATACTTTCGTTAAATTTATTGATGTCGATAATTTAATTTTAATGTAAAACTTAATTAAAGTCACAGATTATGTCAAGTGGATAATCAGATAGCATATTAAAATTTATACTTCTTAAATTATTGACTTCAATAAAAGTATTAAATTTCATTGAATGTTTATATTTTGCCTTTATAAGGTATAATTGTGGTTTTTATATTTCGTGCACCGTACGTACGTACTAGGGTTGTACGCAACTCAACTAAATAAATCAAAACTATGTGCGCAAACTATGGAATTTGATATATTACTGTATTATAGATTTTTCACATTACACGAATGAATATCAATTTAATTATTGCCATATTACATATCGATATATCAAACAATAATTAATGCTATATTACATTCTTATATTACATTTTCGTTTAGAGATTGTCATCTTTACAAATTAATATATTTATTAAAATTAATTACCGTATATTACCGAATAGAAGCTACCCCCGAATAGAAGCTACCCCTCGATTTTGGATCCAAAAATCTGAAAACGGTTACTATGTTTTAATAGTAAAATTAGACCCGAATAGAAGCTACCCCTGCAGTTTAGCCTAAGAAAATCGAAGAAAATCGAAAATTTTTTGGTAGCTTCTATTCGGTAATATACGGTATTTAAAAATGACGCAGCTTATTGAAACCCCAAAGAATTACTTTGAAATTTTCACAAATAACTTAATAACTTAATAAATGGTGGAGAATAAAGTTACGCTTTTGGATTTCTATTAACATATAAATTTGAACATTTATCTTATAAATGATTTAAATTTCATTAATTAAAGTGAAAAAAAATTAGAATTTAAAACGTACAAGTTGAAATTTTAATAAAAGTTTTGCAAAAAAATCGAGCATAACTTCTTAGAGATGACTTCTGCGAAGACAGTGTCAATGTGGATTCTTTAGAAGTTTGTGCGTTACTTATTAATTAAATATATATCAATTTTGATATTTAATCGATTATTTTAATTTCACTGATTAAAATCTGATCATAGTAAAATTACTAATATTGCTGACATAATTTTTGATTTACGTATATTGATTTTTATTTTTTGTTGCATCTCAGAACTACTACTACTACATATGTTGACGCGTAAAATGGCTATCAAATCATATCTAAGGATTTGCACATATTATTTCATAATATATATAAAATTTGAATATTGTGTGACTAATTTTAAAAGGCTTATTAAATATTTACTGTAATATCTTATCTCGCATTTAAGCTTTTTGCGCCTACATTAATTTTACGGGTACGCATGACAATATTATGATTTAATCTTATTTGAATTTAGTTATAAGACCTATTTATACTTATATAAAGTATATATGCACTAAAATAATTAATAACATATATAATTTTATTAAAAGTTTAAAAATTAACTAAAACAAATAAAAAAAACAGCTGATACAGAAAGAAAGTCCCGTCCCAAAAGTTTGACATTATTTTACGCTAGAATATAGGGGTGAAACTAGCTATTGTTATTGTTATTTAATTTACCTGGTAATCTAATAATATTTTAGTTAAATCCTCAGAAGACAAAATTATAGCTGCAGTCATTTAAAATATCAGAGGTAGTCACCTTTTTAAAATTTAGATGATATATCTACCCTTTGCTATCTGTCGGAGTCGTAGCCTCTTCATCCGTAGTCTCAGACGTAGTCCATTCTTTAGGTAAGACTGGTTTTAATAAGCCTGGTGGCTTGTAGCCGCCGAAACAGAATTTATATATAACCAAAAGGAAAGCAGTTGAACCACCAAGTCCAGAAAGAAAGCTAACAACAGTGGTCGAGCTCACTTTACTAAGTTTAGGTTAATACGGTTAATTTAAGTAGGCGAGACTTATATAATATTTAATATATTAGAAGAATTTATTAACTTACTTTACTTGCGTATAAGTAGTTAAAATTGATGACATATTAGAAATTTGTAAAGTAGTATATGGTATAGTTTGATTCGGAAAATTAGCATTGCTATATTGTCCAACCGATACTATTGGTAAATGGTGGTAATAAGATAATAAATATCTGTTTAAACAAGTAACTATTACAAACAATGAATTTAAGATCCTTGCTTACATATCCTAGTTGACAACCCATAATAATTAACTCTATGTTCGGAAGTTTTACTGGTAACTTTAGTAAACTTGGCTTTTTCTAAAGAAGTGTCGAGGTCTTGATATTGAATGCGCTCTAAAAATATATAATTCTCCTGCATAAAATAGTATTAAATTAATTAAATTAATTAAATAAATTATAAACATTAATAAATAAACAAAAATCAACATTATGAATATTAAATTTTGTTACTTGAAATGGCGAAAGTGTGTAAATATTTTCATATAATAATGAAGAAAGTTTGTCTTGAATATTACTAGTGGTCTTTGAGCCTATGCTACCACCAATTATGCTACCGCCAGAAAAGAAACCACTAAGATCTATTTGGTTATATGTCTCTGGATCAAGTAGAATTACGACTGGATAAAAAAAGTTACTTGAATCAGCTGCGTAAATATCAAATTCAATAATCGATGAACTTGAAAATAAAGCATTATTGTCAAAATAAATGCTGTAATCTGTGAAATATTTGATTTTTATACTACAATCAGTAACAGTTGTATCAGCTAAATTTAGATGAAAATTTAGATATAATAATTTGTCGATAGAAAAGAATTAAAAGAAACATTTAACAACAGAATAACATACAGAAAGTACATGTAATATTATTATTAATCAGACTGGATCCGGAGAGAAAAATAACAGCTAAGTACAGAAGTAATAAAAATATCATGTTAGTGGTAAATTACCATAATTAACTCCTTAAAGAAACTTACCAGGAACAGGTACAGCGTCGACTGATCTTGACATTTGTAGTGATGAAGGACCAGTAAAACTAAGGAGGTAGTAAATTATGTAGGCTATAATTAAGCCATACATAATGAAGAGACAAATCATTCTAAATCTTCTGAAACATAGAGATTCCTTTTCATTGGGACTTTCTCTGTTAGTTTCACACCAAAATAAACAGCAAGTATTATATATATCCATTTTTTTTAATAAAAATTTTAATAAGTATATGAACGTGGAATGTCTGAAACGATGCCCTAATGGAGAGAGAAATTCTTCAGATATTTATAAAATTGTGAAAACCATTGAATAAGATATAATCAAAATCAATGAAATAAATTGTAACAAATATTGATCCATATATGTTATGAAATTTTAAATAAAGAGCTAAAATAGCGAAATAAGCTTTATCTTGAATTTTCATTTTCCTGTGTAACAAATAAAATAGGTTTAAATCTAGCTAAATAATCATTGATAAGTGTAAAAATTTAAATGCGAAACCTCATACACCATCTCAACGATCACTACTGTCATACGTATGTACGTACGTACATGGGAACAAAACCAGTGACAACTCATCATATAGAGCTTGGCATATTTCCGAAACTGCATTATGCTAACTTATCACTCATAAGTAATTTATAAATACACGTATGTATTAGGCAATAAAAATCCTTTACGTACGTACGTACGTACGTAGATAAAAATCATCCATTCAAAGTGAATACAGTCAAGAATAGATGAAAATCACAGAAATATCTAAATTGACATCCAATATCTTAATAAGTAAGTTCAATCAACTTCTAAATAATGCCATCTTAATGAACGTGTTGATTTTTGGTGCGCAAAATTTTCAATTATGGTATATCTGAGCTTTTTCATGTTCCCACATTTGTTTGTCATACGTAGGGATGGGTACGGTCACGGTCATAACCGTTGTGACCGGTCATTGACCGTAACAGTTGTTGACCGGTCAGAGCGGTTTAACTGACCGGTCAAATAATGACTGATGCCAGATTCTTTAAAAAACCATCATACTACAGCTGTTATCATAAATTCTGGGACACCAATTCGATAAAATCTGCAATTTTGAAATAAAC